TTTCATAAAATCTCGCCTTGCTTCTGGTAATGTCCATCGCCTTTTACATGTTATCGAGGGTAGTGCCAGCATCTTAACACCATGTGCTGTTTTATCAGTTGACGCTGAGAAGGCTTTCGACCGCCTTGAATGGCATTATCTCTGGCAGGTTTTACATCACATGGGGTTTGGTGTGCAATATATCTCCATGATTAAAGTTTTATATTCCAATCTCATTGCCAGAGTCTTGATAGGCAGCACATACTCAGATAACATATCCATTTCCAGGGGCACAAGACAAGGGTGCCTGCTTAGCCCTTTATTGTTTGCTCTTTCGCTGGAACCATTGGCCCAGGTGATACGTCTAACTCATGACCCTATCACCATTTATAATACTAATCACCATCTTTCGTTGTATGCTGATGATGTTCTTATTTATGTTAATGACATTTCCACACAGCTTCTTGATTTACTAAATACCTTCGTTAAGTTTGGGGATATTTCAGGCTACAAGATAAATTGGTCTAAATCAGCGTTACTTCCACTGAATAATGTAGCTAAATCTGTTGACCTTACAACAAGTATCCCCATAGTCCAAAATTTTCAATATCTTGGTTTGAATATTTTTCCTTCCTACAAAAATCTTAAGTGATAACTATACCACCACTCTTAATACTATACTGGTAGATTTGGCAAAATGGTCTGCGATTCCACAGTCCATTCAAGCATGATTCTCGGTAATAAAAATGAATATCATGCCTAGAATAAATTTCTGCAGTTCTATGTTGCCACTTCCACCCCTAGCTGGTTATTGGAACAGACTTCATTCTGCTATAAATAAATTTATTTGGAACAATAAACCTTCCAAGAATGAAAATGGTTACACTTCAAAGCGCAAGGAATTTAGGTGGTCAAAATTTGCCAAACTTGAAATATTATTTCTGGTCTTTTACTATGCGAGCCCTGAGCTCATGGCTAAATCCAGAGGTGGAGAATGCCTGGCGTCCTATAGAAGAATCTAGAGTCAAACCTCACTGCTTAGAGGATGTTGTTTATTCAAGCATCCCAAACAAAAATTGCTTAGTAAAGTTCAGTTCCGTTATTTCTAATTTAATTTCAGTTTGACGCTCCATCAGGAAAATTATGACTGTTTGTAAATACCATCTCAATGTTCCCTTGTTTAATAACTACTCTATTACATTGGATGGCAAACCTATATCTCTCCCCAGCTGGTCAGGAAAAGGAATCCATGTTCTAGCAGACATTATACAAGGTAATAGACTCAGAGCTTTCCAAGATCTTAAAGATTCCTATAATCTTCCAGGTACCACATTTTTCTTTTATTTACAGCTGAGATCTCCTCTCAATGCCTATGGTGTTCCCTGGGGTACCATTCTGGATACTCTCCCTATTAATAGGCTTTATACCTCCAACGCTCAGTATATGCTCATATCAAAACTTTATTCGTTACTCACCCAGTCCACTGCACAGCAACTGCCAATTTACAAAATTTGGAAAAAGGATTTAGGTCTATCAAGCATTAACTGGTCTAGAGTTTGGTCCAATATACAACTCATCCTCCAGGAACCCCGATCATCAAATGATTCACTTCAATTTCGTCATGAGAAGCCACTTCACCCCCCTAAAATTAGCAAAATTTTCTGCTAGTCATTCCCCCAATTGCAGTTTTTGTCCTCAGGCAACACCAGGCACATATGTCCATATGATGTGGGACTGTACTAAGGTTAACACCTTTTGGCACTCTGTTGCATCAGCACTCTCTATAATTATTGGAAAAAATATACCTTTTGTACCTGCTTTATTTTTGTTAAATGATGACTCAGGTTTTGATCTTCCTATTTCTTACCGCCACATTCTCTTAGCGGGTGCAAAGAACTGCTGCAAAGAAATTAGTGGCCACTCAATGGAAGCAACCCCAGTCACTCAACATACCACAGTGGTATCTATCACTCATGGACATTTTGTATTTGGAGAGTTCTGTAGCTAAAATACATGGTGCCAAACAGAAGAATGTGAGCTTTGTAGATAAAATGAGAGAGAAGATAAAAAGTTATTTGATTTAATCTGTTTGTCACTAAATGTTAAAGTCTGTGATCGAATAGCATGCATTGAATACTGTGGGTCTAGGTAATAGGGTTTTTAGGGTATGGGATAAAGGGGGGGGGGGGGGGGGGGGGGGGGGTTAGGTTGTTGTCCTGTCCTTTGTTCTTTTGCTGTTGTTGTGTTCTTTGCTTTCTTCTGTTTTTTGGTTTGTTATTTTTATTTTAGTTTTTGTGCGTACTGTTATTGTTTTATACACTGGTTCTATGTGTATTGTCTTGTCAGTTGTCGAAATAAAAATAAAAATTGGATCACAAAAAAGAATATTATTTTATGTTACAAAAAATGTGTTTTTTGCCTGGTCTTCCCTTTGTTTAGAAAATTAAAATAAAATAAAAAACTCCAAAGAGAATTATTTGGCTTGTGAGCCTTAAAACTGAAGCAATTTTTTTACTTATCAAAGGTTTAAGAATCATTTTGACTTCTCAAGATGCAATATTTTATAGGTTTTAGAGCCCTTAAGTGGTGAAACTGTCCAGTGTTTTACAGACAAACAGCACAAACTAAATAAAAGAGAAACATTTGAAAAGAAGAATGAGAATATTATTTTATGTTATGAGAAAATGCTATTTCCCCTTTATTAATGAATCTTGTCATGCCCCTCAGGTCTACTTTTTGACCCCTTTAGGGGTCCTGACCCCCATGTTGGTAATCACTAACTTAGTGGACTTGAAAGTTGAAATAGAAAACAGACAAAAGTGGACAGTAGTGGACACTTTTAGGCTAAAAATATATAATTATTGTTAAAAGGTATTTAGTAATCTCCACGACCCAAATGACACAGCTGGCAGTGTAGGTACCATAATGTAAAGAGAGAGATCTTCAACAGATATGTGATGGCAATTTTCCAGAAAACCCAGAAAATTGTACAGAGTTTGGTTGGTTGCTCAGGTGGGAGGGAAAGCAAAGGTTACAAAAGTTTTTATACAAAAACCAATTGCTGTTTGTTACATTAGTTACATCATATAACTAAATGGTGTTTAATTTTATCCTTAGACCCTTTGAGATGATTTTCTTTTAATGTTAAGAAAATTGTAAAGAATTTGGTTGCTAGATGGTCAAACTTTTCCCACAGGACATTTAAGTAAAAGTTACATAAGGTTTTTGTACAAAATGTGATTTCTACTTATCAGACTGTTATTTTGAAAAAGTTCTGTAGTCTTTAAAAAGTAAAATTAAACAATGTTTTACAAGAGCAAGCAAATATGTTTGTACTTCGACTTTAATTTTAAACATATTTCAAACAGCATTCCTAACTTTTCAATCATCTTGTGACCCTTTAGCTTTATCTTGTGGGGGTCCCAACCCCATCATTCTGAAGCACAGATGTAGAGGGGTACATAATGCAAATGAAAAGAAATAGAAGATTATTAGATTACCATATAAAGCATACTTACATTACATTGACTAATTACCAAGAGATAAAAATGTCCTAAGTACACACTAATGTGTAAAAAAAAAAAAAAAAAAGTATTAACATGTTTTTAAGTGCTGTATCTTTCAGTGAGAAAGTTGACACCTGGTTATGAGTGTAATGCTGTCAGTGCACACTTGATGGTTGAAGGGGCAGGAATGCAGCCTCACCTGATGGGCCTGTTCACCCTTTGGACTTCTGTCGCTCCAGGTGTCAGTCCACACGGAGCCCGAGGACCTCCACACCACATAGCTGACAGGGATTTCTACCATTTTTTTCCTGTTAAAGGGTTTTTTGGGGGGATTTTTCCTTATCCGCTGCGAGGGTCCTAAGGACAGAGGGATGCCGTATGCTGTAAAGCCCTCTGAGGCAAATTGTAATATGTGATACTGGGCTTTATGAATAAAATTGATTGATTGATTAACTGATTGATCGATTGAGAGCTGTCCTCAGAAAGACTAAATAGAAGACTCACAGAAGTGTCACTTTTTTTTGTACATTCACATGTTAAATTCCAACTCAAACTTAATTTTTCAAATGGTCAACCCCTTGAGCATAGCTTGACAGGTGCACTTGCCCTGTGGTAGCCTATGAGTATAGGTCTATGATGTAGGCTTTCTCTTGTTGCCAGCTGGCTCCAAATATTTTTCTGATAACTAGACGTTCAGGAGGTTTAATAGTGGGAGCCGAATCATCCACAAAGGTCTTCTTCTCTCCAACCCGATGGACACTGTGATTAAAACTGGTATAAACAATGAATAAAGCAGTTTCATTTGAAGAAAACTTTATTGTCCTGACGCTGCACACCGCAGCAAGACTGCTAGCTGTGGTGGCTGACTAGAAAACACAAATGGCCCTATCCAGAGCCAGTATGTTGTTTGTCCAATCCGGGCTACTGGACAAACATGGCGAAGCGACATGGTGATCCCTGTAGATGAGGAACCACCCATATACACATTTTGACAAATGAAGGCCTGTCTCAGTTAGACTGGTTCCCAAGCAGTTATTTTTTAGAGGGGTTCTTTGGATGTATAAAATCAGGTTGTTGTTATCGGGTTATTGATATTAAAATATATTAATAAAAAAAATGTACTTTTCAAATATTTTTCAAGTCTTGTTTTCAAAAGTTATTCATGCTTTCAGCAGAACCTCCCTTCAAACCAATATTCCACATTGTTCATATTTTATGGGCATTATTCATCCTTTAAAGCCAGCAATCCAGTTTAGTGTCAGCTTTTCAACATCCAGCATTCACAGTGCAGTTTCATGAGAAATTTTCTTCTCTTGTCTACAAAATGTTCTTCCTATTTTTTTTGTTTGCTTGTTTTATATATATACCCTCACAGCACGATTATGTTTTTCCATTATCCTCTTCTCTTGTCTTATCGCTTATTTTTTTTTGTTTGTTTGTTTATTTCTTTTCAATTACACATCAGAGATGATTCTGATCTGTCAATGTGAAATAAAAACACAAGAACCACAGACATTATGTAAGACTTTGTTTTTTTTATTGAAGAATGTCAGACAGACTCAGTTTACAATAACAGCATCTGATGCTTGATTCTGGTCTAACTGCTGCTGCTGATCTACTCTGCAGAGGAAATCTCTTCCTTTGTGGTGGACACCACCATGGTGGCGATGCTGCAGAAAAGAAAAATCACAGTTTATTTTGACATTTTTATTATTTCAGTATGATCAGACTGAAAATGATTTCTTATTGTTATAAAAGAAAAACAAGACTAGTAATATTTGAAAGGGTAAGTGAAACTACTTTTACATCGTGTAGTAGCCTAGTAAGTATTAAATAATATGTTTTGTTATTGTCATCAGAAGCTGATCTCATGGGAAATATGTTTTTACAATAAATAAATGCCGTTTTTCTGAATTCTGTCCAAAACTATGAGATTTAAAGTTTAAATTATGATGCAAAATTTTATTAGTATTAGTATTTTTAGCCGTTCTGCAGTAGCAGTGATGGATGCAAATGTCTGTTTGTAAACCACTTTGTTCAAAACTAACCTATCTCAACAACCATTGAATGGATTGTGACGAAATGTGGTTTACACATTTATCAGGAGGAAGTGTAATAACTTAGGAGATCCTCTGATTTTTTATCTAGCACCATCATCAGGTCAAAATTTGAATTTGTCCAATACTTTGCTTTATGACCAAATACCTACAGAACTAAAGACACTCCCATAAGCTTCTGCATGCTGAAATGCTAAGCTAAGATGTTTTGTGAGTATTTGTGCACTTAACACAACATGTGTGAAAGAGTTAATGGCAGAGAAAATGTTCTAAATTCATTGAACATTTCCCTCCACTCACCTCTCTCCATCCAGCAGCCTCCTGTACTGGGCGATCTCCAGCTCCAGTCTGGTCTTGATGTCCAACAGGTCAGCGTACATGATCTTCTGGTTCTCCAGGTCAGATCTCAGCTGGGCCAGCTGCTCCTCCAGAGCCTCCACCTGCCTCTGGTAACCTGCCAGCATGTTGGCGTAGCGGGTCCTGGTCTCAGCGAGACTTGCCTCCAGAGCTCCTTTCTGTTCAGGAGGAAGAGGGAGGACAGTCAGGTCAGAGAGAGAGCAACAGATGACTCAATGAGGTTGAAAGAATTAGTTTTCTTACCTTGCTGATCTGAGCCTGCAGTTTGATCTCCAGAGTCTGAAGAGTTCTTCTGATCTCCCCGATCTCGGACTTTGACGTCTGCAAGTACTCGGCGCTAGAAGCCACGTCTTTGTTCAGGTCAGCTGTCTGTGGAGCACAAGTGCTAATTATGTTATTGAGCTGCTAAACATCCCGGAAGAGCTTAACTTAAAAAAAAAAAAAAAAAAAAAAAAGCTATAAAACTTCCAAACTTAAACTTATAGAACTTAAAAAACAAAAAGTGGTTGTAGTATGACTTGAGATGGAGCCGGTTTTGGACAGTAGGGGGCAGCAGTGATCACATTCAGAGTACAAAATAGGGCTTTGTGGTCTCACCTTGGCTTGGAACCATGACTCCAGGTCTCTGCGATTCTTGTTGGCAACGGTCTCGTAGTGTTCTCTGATTTCAGCCAAGACAGCAGACAGGTCTTGTTGAGGAGCCGCGTCCACCTCCACATTCACCTTACCTCCCATGTGGGCCCGCAGAGCCAGCAGATCCTGCAGGAAGACACTGGTTAAACTTCTGTTATTTTTATCCTTTTATTTCTGTTTCTTTTTTTGTCTGGTCTCAGTGGTCATACCTCCTCGTGGTTCTTCTTCAGTTGGGCCAGCTCGTCTCTCAGACCTTGCAGTTGCATCTCCAGGTCGGACCGGCTCAGGGTCAGCTCTTGCAGGACCCCCTTCAGCCCAGCAATATCAGCCTCCACTGACTGACGCATTGCCAGCTCATTATCATACCTGAAAAAAACACAAGACAGAGTTCAAGAAACTCATCTGATTGTCGAAATGATTGGGAAGAAGGGGCTCACAAAAATTGAATCAGATTACTTTATGTTGCGTTCTCAACATGTGATATGATGTTAAAAGACACAAAGTCTCACACTCACTTGACTCTGAAGTCGTCGGTGGCCAGCTTGGCGTTGTCCACAGCAAGGATGAGGTTAGCGTTACCACGAGCAGCAAATTCAATCTGAAAAGTTGAAAAAGTTAAACTTAAAACATTAATGGTCAGATTTCGTAAGGAACTGAAGAATTCATAAACCTTATAAACCTTAAATATGCTTGAGTTACATTTAAAATCATAAAACTTTAAATTCAAATACCTCCAATCAAAATATTCAAAAACAAAGGCTTATTAAGTTTCTGTTCTCACCTGGTCCTGCAGGTCTTTGATGCGGACATTGAAGCTGGTGAAGTTGTGAGCGTCTGGCAGGGTTCTGTTCTCCAGAAACTGTCTGATCTTCAGCTCCAGTTCAGCATTGGCCTTCTCCAGACTGCGCACCTTTTCCAGGTATGTGGCCAGGCGGTCGTTGAGGTTCTGCATGGTGGCTTTCTCGCTCACAGTCATGTCGACTGCGTCAGCCAAGTTAAAGCCACTGCCAGCACCAGTGGAGGACACAAAGGAGGCCTTGGACACACGGACTCCAGACCCTCCAGCGCCTCCGTACACACTGCCGGCCCCTATGCTGCTGACTCGTTGGGACACAGAGGGGACCATCAAGATGGAGCTCCTCATGGGGGAGGACATGTAGCTGCTGCGGCTGGAGAAGGAGGTCATGGCTGCTGGTCGGCTGGTCGTTGGCTCTGAGCGGAGAGTGAAGAGGTGCTGGGACAGCAGCTCCTCTTATGCCTCAAAATCAGGCTGGGGGTGTGGTAGTGGGTCAGGTTGGGATGCCAAACATGCCAGCTATGTCACAGTGTAGCCCTGAGGCCCTGAGAGCAAACCGGTCTGAGCTGAACAGGTGAGGTCCAGCAGGTCCGGCGGGTCTCCATCTGAAAGAGAAAGTCTATTTCAACTCTTCTAGAGGCTCCAGGGTGACATCTCAGAGGGGCCTGACAGCTGTTTGTACCTGACGGTGCGGTCCTGTCAGTCCACACAAAGCCCTGAGGATCAGGCATCCAGTCAGACCTCAAATGTTTCACTGCCCACAGCTCTGTCCACAGCGAGATTCAAAGAGAGCAGGAGAATCTCCTTTTGCTCATTAAACTATTTAAAACCCTATTCAATTTTATGCAAAATGTGTCGTCACATAACTGAAAATGAATTCTAAGGTCACAGTTTTCACATTCTGATGGCTCGTCTTTCTTTGGTTTAGTTATTTACAATGAAAAATCCTATACTGATCCTAAACCCAAGCGAAGTTTATCGATCAGAGGTTTAATATTTCTACAAGCTGTGGGCACTTAAATCAAAGATTTTTACTTCTCAAGAGGCCACTCTTACAATTCATTTTATAGACCTAACACGATGAAACTGATGAGTATATCAACTTAATTTATTTTATACTTGCTTTATTTGTCTATGCACCTTTATACTTGTATGTGTAAACATATATGTATGCTTTTTTAAAGCAAAACCTGTTTAACTTTTTTTAAGTGCCATAAATTAAAAAATAACTTGAAACTTGACTGTTTCACAAAAAAAGTAAAGAAAGGGGAAACATCTGAAAACAATCAGAATATTATTTCATGTTACAGAAAAATGTATTTTTTTCCTGGTCTTCCCTTTGTTTAGAAAATTAGATAATTAGAGAATTATTTGGCTTGTGAGCCTTTAAACTGAAGCAATTTTTACTTATCAAAGGTTTAAGAATCATTTTGACTTCTCAAGATGCAATATTTTATAGGTTTTAGAGCCCTTAAGTGGTGAAACTGTCCAGTGTTTTACAGACAAACAGCACAAACTAAACTAGAAAAGCACTCAGAGAGTGCAGACCTCCGCCAAGTAGGTGATATTCCCTCCCCCTCTGCATCAGATTTTGCAGCCTGCATCACAATTAGGTTATTTGCATCACTATCATTATTAGGTTATATATGCCTTCACCATGGAGACACTGTGGTGTATTTATTTCATTTTTATTTTGTACAAACACAGAATATAATGTTTTTTTGTATTTTTCACTTTCTTTTTTTCCAACACAGAACATTAATTTTAACTTTAGAATTGCAACAATATTTAGCAAGCAGAGCAAGACGTGCTGATGGCGCTATTTTCAGCGTCTTTAGAAATTGGAATTGCTGCTGAGGCTGTCATACCATAGACTTTATTTATTATTTTATCCACTTTGCTTCAACCGATCACCACCAAAATTTTATCATCTTGTCCCATTATCCACCTTGGATGAAAATTTCATCAAAATCTGCTCAGAACTTTTTGAGTTATTTTGCAAACAAACAAACAAACAAACAGACAAACAAACAGACAAACAGACCAATGCCAGCAAAAACATTACCTCCTTGGCGGAGGTAATAAAAGAGAAACATTTGAAAAGAAGAATGAGAATATTGTTTTATGTTATGAGAAAATGTTATTTCCCCTTTTTTAATGAATCTTGCCATGCCCCTCAGGTCTACTTTTTGACCTCTTTAGGGGTTAACATGTTTTTAAGTGCTGTATCTTTCAGTGAGAAAGTTGACACCTGGTTATGAGTGTAATGCTGTCAGTGCACACTTGATGGATGAAGGGGCAGGAATGCAGCCTCACCTGATGGGCCTGTTCACCCTTTGGACTTCTGTCGCTCCAGGTGTCAGTCCACACGGAGCCCGAGGACCTCCACACCACATAGCTGACAGGGATTTCTACCATTTTTTTTCCTGTTAAAGGGTTTTTTGGGGGGATTTTTCCTTATCCGCTGCGAGGGTCCTAAGGACAGAGGGATGCCGTATGCTGTAAAGCCCTCTGAGGCAAATTGTGATTTGAGACATAATAGAAGACTCACAGAAGTGTCACTTTTTTTTGTACATTCACATGTTAAATTCCAACTCAAACTTAATTTTTCAAATGGTCAACCCCTTGAGCATAGCTTGACAGGTGCACTTGCCCTGTGGTAGCCTATGAGTATAGGTCTATGATGTAGGCTTTCTCTTGTTGCCAGCTGGCTCCAAATATTTTTCTATGATAATTAGACATTCAGGAGATTTAATAGTGGGAGCCGAATCATCCACAAAGGTCTTCTTCTCTCCAACCCGATGGACACTGTGATTAAAACTGGTATAAACAATGAATAAAGCAGTTTCATTTGAAGAAAACTTTATTGTCCTGACGCTGCACACCGCAGCAAGACTGCTAGCTGTGGTGGCTGACTAGAAAACACAAATGGCCCTATCCAGAGCCAGTATGTTGTTTGTCCAATCCGGGCTACTGGACAAACATGGCGAAGCGACATGGTGATCCCTGTAGATGAGGAACCACCCATATACACATTTTGTCAAATGAAGGCCTGTCTCAGTTAGACTGGTTACCAATCAGTTATTTTTTTAGAGAGGCTCTTTGGATGTATAAAATCGGGTAATTGTTGTCAGGTTATTGATATTAAAATGTATTAATAAAAATTTGTTTTATATATACATACATGCATGCATATACATTTTTACATTATCATTATATATATCTTTATGTATATTTTTTATAGAATTTGTTGTTTTTTCTTTTGCCAAACTAACATAATGAAATAGAAAAATGCAGTAGGTTAATACAGTTTTTTCAGCATACCCTCACAACACGATTATGTTTTTCCATTATCCTCTTCTCTTGTCTTATCTCTTATTTTTTTGTTTGTTTATTTCTTTTCAATTACACATCAGAGATGATTCTGATCTGTCAATGTGAAATAAAAACACAAGAACCACAGACATTATGTAAGACTTTGTTTTTTTTATTGAAGAATGTCAGACAGACTCAGTTTACAATAACAGCATCTGATGCTTGATTCTGGTCTAACTGCTGCTGCTGATCTACTCTGCAGAGGAAATCTCTTCCTTTGTGGTGGACACCACCATGGTGGCGATGCTGCAGAAAAGAAAAATCACAGTTTATTTTGACATTTTTATTATTTCAGTATGATCAGACTGAAAATGATTTCTTATTGTTATAAAAGAAAAACAAGACTAGTAATATTTGAAAGGGTAAGTGAAACTACTTTTACATCGTGTAGTAGCCTAGTAAGTATTAAATAATATGTTTTGTTATTGTCATCAGAAGCTGATCTCATGGGAAATATGTTTTTACAATAAATAAATGCCGTTTTTCTGAATTCTGTCCAAAACTATGAGATTTAAAGTTTAAATTATGATGCAAAATTTTATTAGTATTAGTATTTTTAGCCGTTCTGCAGTAGCAGTGATGGATGCAAATGTCTGTTTGTAAACCACTTTGTTCAAAACTAACCTATCTCAACAACCATTGAATGGATTGTGACGAAATGTGGTTTACACATTTATCAGGAGGAAGTGTAATAACTTAGGAGATCCTCTGATTTTTTATCTAGCACCATCATCAGGTCAAAATTTGAATTTGTCCAATACTTTGCTTTATGACCAAATACCTACAGAACTAAAGACACTCCCATAAGCTTCTGCATGCTGAAATGCTAAGCTAAGATGTTTTGTGAGTATTTGTGCACTTAACACAACATGTGTGAAAGAGTTAATGGCAGAGAAAATGTTCTAAATTCATTGAACATTTCCCTCCACTCACCTCTCTCCATCCAGCAGCCTCCTGTACTGGGCGATCTCCAGCTCCAGTCTGGTCTTGATGTCCAACAGGTCAGCGTACATGATCTTCTGGTTCTCCAGGTCAGATCTCAGCTGGGCCAGCTGCTCCTCCAGAGCCTCCACCTGCCTCTGGTAACCTGCCAGCATGTTGGCGTAGCGGGTCCTGGTCTCAGCGAGACTTGCCTCCAGAGCTCCTTTCTGTTCAGGAGGAAGAGGGAGGACAGTCAGGTCAGAGAGAGAGCAACAGATGACTCAATGAGGTTGAAAGAATTAGTTTTCTTACCTTGCTGAGGTCAGCTGCGTGACTGTCAGTATGACTTCATAGTAAGACAATAATTTAATACTAAACATTTTACATTCAAATTAATGAGGAAGCCCAAACTTGCCAGAGGCAAACTCAGCAGTAAAGGCAAAAGGACTCCTCGGTATTTAGACTATATTCCATATATATGCTGAGTATATATACACACACATACAAATACATATATACATATACATATATATATATATATATATATATATATATGTATACACATACATATATATGTAGTTAGTGTTCTCTTACCTTGCTGATCTGAGCCTGCAGTTTGATCTCCAGAGTCTGAAGAGTTCTTCTAAGATCTCCAATCTCAGATCTAGATGTCTGCAGGGTCTCAGTGCTCAAAGCCACGTCTTTGTTCAGGTCAGCTGTCTGTGGAGCACAAGTATTAATTATGTTATTGATCAAATATCAAGATATCAGACAACAACTGGATGTACAGTTACCTGCTGAACATACTGGAAAGCAGAACTTAAGGACCAAATAGAATGAAAGCTATATGGAATAACTTAAAAACTAAAACCTGTAAAACTTAATCAACAAAAAGTTGTTCTAGTGTGACTCTGGCAGGTTTTGGACAGAAAGGGGCAGCAGTGATCTCAATCAGAGCATGAAACTGGATTTTGTGGTCTCACCTTGGCCTGGAACCAGGACTCAAGGTCTCTGTTGTTCTTGTTGGTGACAGTTTCGTAGTGTGCCCTGATTCCTGCCAGGACATTGGACAGGTCCTCCTGAGGAGCAGCGTCCACCTCAACGGTCACCTGACCTCCAACCTGGGCCCGCAGAGCCAGCAGATCCTGCAG